TGCCCTTTCTTACTCAGGCTCCGTGCTGTTGGAGGGTTTTTCCATGAGAATGTGTTCAGGTATTACTCACAGAATTACATACAAAACTTATTTTTAGCCAAGTACACGGTGTATCCGGGCCTCGGCACTTTCATATCCAGACCTGGGGGGCTGGGCCTCTCTGCCCTGAGGGACTGCCCCCCCATAACACCGAGCTTGTCCAACAGGCCCTGCGTTTCCTCACTTCCTCACCCTGTCCCCAGGCATGAAGGGCGCAGGCCACGCTTCACAGTCGGCTGAACACAGACCCCAGCCGGGCGCCCCTCAGAGGTGCTGGCTCATCCCGCTGCCTCGGGGCCCCGTTTCCCACCTGAACAGACGGACCTCGTGACAGCGCGGGTCAGAGGCCTGGGAGGGCGCTTTGAGGGGAGTTTGGGGACAAAGACCAAGGGAGACTCCCTTCTCCCTGACGGACCCCAAATGAATCACCCTTTTAAAAAAGTTCACACACACACAGAACTTCATCAGCGAATGAAAACTCGAGAAAACTATGAGGCAGATTCAGTGTGAAGGGCTTTTCAGCAACCAAGTCCCTGGTTTTCTACCCAAGAATGCATTGAGGTGATGACCTCGTTATTTAAAGTCAAAACTATTAAAAGAACAAGGAAAATTTGCAAGAACCACATCAATTTTAGAAACTTTAACTCCTCTCTCGGTCACATCTCACAATCAACAAGTGATGCTGAAGACTGGAATGAAGCAATGAACAAACTTAATTGCTACGAAAAGGAAAAGGCTCCATGGAGGGGTGACCGGCGACTCACCACCTTGGTCTGATACTGAAATTTCTCTTTTTAACTGCGAAGCGTCCGAGCTGTAAGAATGCCCCCCCCCCCCCGCTTCCCCACTTAGGAGACACAAGTGAGAGGGGTGGTCGGGGCCAGGCTCCGGCACACACCACTGACGCGAATCCCACAGGCCTTTCGGGGTTGCCCCCTTTGTCCTTGGCACCTGCCCTGTGTGGGCAAAGGGAGGCACCCAGTAGACATCGGTGTCCAATAAGTGCCCCTGCTTCCCCTCAGGGCTGCCCGGGCCAACTCTCCACTCGGGCTTGGGGCCCCTGAGGGCCACCCCCTCCTCTGCTCTCTGCCTGGGAGTCAGAGGTGGCTCATAAGAGTGACCGCAGACCTGGCCCACCCTCTCCCAGGATCGGCCTCCGCCCGCCCTGCCCCAGGGTCTGGTACGGGGTTTAAGTGAGGGCTCTGCAGGCCTGAGGGGGACAGGTAATGACACCAGGGGGGATGGGGGTGGGGATGGGGGCCCAGTCTTCTCCCCTCACCCCCACTCCTCTGCCCTATAGGAGGGTTTCCCTGCCTGGGTTCCTGTGCAGGCTCCTGGCTCCTCCACCCCCTCATCACA